TATTGTTTTTCAGTGATGATATTATCAGAATATCCATCAATGCTGATAAATTTCAGTTATATCTTCCAGTATTAGTCCAAAGTGACAACAGTCAGTGTCTGAATAACACGTAAAAGAGCAGCTGAATTGTGAATTGCTGCAAAATTCATCTATATCCAAAAACACTTTCTCCGTTCTCGACCACATCCTAATGATAATTTTTATGAGTGCATCTTTTTTTTTTTTTTTTTTTTTTTGCTGTTTTCTTTTATCAGCACTGTTTGTTAAAGAAATGCACTTTGAAAGGCGGGTTCATCGAACTCTAAAAATCGTACAATTTTTGCGAGCTCTGATAGTTTTGTAATTCCGACGGGAATGCTAGTTTTACGCTGCAGTATCAACTTCTAACTTCAAAAAATGAGTCATAGCTCCCTGGTGAGGCTTTATAGAAAGGAAATGGAATCATAGACATAACTAGTGACAAAGCCTCCATCACCTCACGTAAGATCTCATTCCTTCTGAAGGAATTCTGGTTTATATACCCTCCAAAATTGAGAAATATCTTCCTCTCACATAGCTTTTTTTTTCTTTTTTTACCCCCCTCTTCATTCAAAAGGTATTTTCATGACCAAACAAAAGGATATGGTGTCATTAATGATATGTATTGTGAAACAAGCCCTCTTAAAACAGTGTTTCCTATAAATGTACAGATAAAGGGGCTGATCTCTTTCCCAACAAAGGATCTCTAAAATATGAAGTGAAAAGCTACCCAAGATGAAGCTGGTGAAAAACAGGCAAGGAAGAGTCTATTTCCACAACACAAACAGATTTCCTGGCCTTTAGCAGTCTCTTACTGGGATACTTTGAGACATATCCATCAAAACACAGCTGTATTCATTCATATTTCATACCTCCTCCTTCTCCCAGTGCTTTAACACAGTTCTTTGATCAAAGAAGAGAACTCGGATCACAACAGGAAGGTTCCCTGCCAGCTCCGAAGAAGATACAGTACTATACATGACTCTATATAGCTGTCTTTACTTTAAATCGTCATTTATAGAAAAATTAAATTATATATATTTGTGCTTTGCAAATCAATGTAAAAGAAAAAAAAATAAAACTTGAGAAATTCTTTTCTTTCTTGAGTTCTCCTCTGTTGTTTAATTCTTGTAAAGTTCTTTTGCAAATTTTTTACAATTTATCTCTATTCATCTGAAAGTGAAAGATAAACTCCGCCTGTGAGTTTCCCTTAGAATAGGAATTTTTCTGAATATTTTTTTAGCCGATTTAAGTCTTTGTTGGGGGTTTAAAAGAAATACACTTTGAGCAACTTGGGTGAAGGAATTGCTGTGAGAGTGACAGCTATGATCAGATCCTAAACACACAGCTCAAGAGTGTCACCATGTGGAGATGGGAAGATATGGCAAAATGGAGCCAGTACAGCTGTCTGCATGTTTCACAGACAAATGTTTTAACACAGCACAAGAGAAACTGGGGACTTTTATCAACCTTAAGACTCAGTCTTTTTTTTATTGTAACTGTACTCTTAACAGCTAATTTAACTTGTTTTTAAATTTGATTAGCTTTCCAGCTTGTTCCTGTACCTCCCGTCCAGCGAATCAATTCCAAGACGTCGCACTTCCAAGTACCGCTTTCGGTAAGGCTTGGGGAGGAAGAGAAAAAAAACCTGTTTGAAGACCTCCCTGACATTTAGACTCTCTCTGAAGATGACTTTGCCTTCTACTATTTGCCTGCGGGAACATAGTAAGACCCACACTTAACTTCAATTGAAATGCAGTGCCAGAGTCCTCCTGGGGAAATTATCATTTTGTTCGTAATAAGTGTCACAACAAGCACCTGGAAAATTACTTTATTACACTTCCTGCTTAAATAAAAGTTTCCACTGACCCACTGGAATCACATGCAATGCCAGGAACAATGAGCAGTGCCTTGCAAAAGTATTCAGACTCCTCATACCTTTTGGATTTTAACACATTTGAACAGCAAACTTCAATACATTTTAAAGGCTGTCGAAGTGGAAACGACTTGTGGCTGAAATTCTACCCTAGATTATGAGTGGACACAGTAACTTGGGAAAGAAGATGGCCTGTTGTGATGAAAACATCACGCAGTGGGTCTGTTTTTTAGAGCAGGTGCATAGAATTGGTGGGCAGATTAAAAAAATAAATAAAAAATACATACAGATGTGAAAGACGGTTTGGTTACGGCTCTGTAACCAAACTAAACTTACACATTAAGTATGTAGGACTTAATACCTCCTCCTTAATGCCTTCATAGCTCAGGTAGGAGAATCAATTGACAGAAAGATACAGTAGTTGTACTCTAATCTATTCTAATTTTGGATGACTGACAAGAGAGCCTTTAGAAGTCCTATTTGCAGCTTGGCACAAGCAAAGTTGGCATGCATGCACTGCAAGTGTGGAAGAAGAAGGTGTCCTTGAGACCGGGGTGCAAGTTCACTTCTTGAGGCCAAATTTTAACCCATAAAAAGCTCAAACTATGCCTGAACATAAAATACCCAATCCCAAAGCCCCATCACGCTGCATAGAAATTATTTTTTCAACAGGGCCTATGAAGTTGATTAAAGTTGCTGAAGATGAATGGAGCACAATAATGGAAAATTCTGGGTGAGAATCTGATAGATGCTGCAAAAAAAATTTAAACTGGGGAGCAAGTTCACGTCTAATTATGAAGTCTTTTGTGTTTGTTTCCTCGAAAGATTTGCCGCACTTACACTCAAAAGTAGTTCAGCAAAGTATTGGCTCACAAGACCCAATATTTTACTAGCAAAAAAAAAAATCTAGCATTTTTTTCCCCTTTTCACACTTATGTGGAGTCAATTAAATACACCAAAATGTGTGGCTTTACAACTAGCACAAGTGAAAATGTTAAAAGGGAGTGTATACTTTTGCAGGTCATTGTAAACACTAAAATGCTGCTCAAAGGACGCATGTTTGCTGATAGGCTATTTGAGGAGGTACACCTGTTTGATACGATTTATTGATGCGATTGTTGACTTTCTGCCTTAGCCTTGGATGGAGGTGCGAGGAGAGCCCTTTTTTCCTGTAGCCATTATCCAAATATGCTCTTTTTTTTTTTAGAAAATGAATGGCACAAAAATCAAAGTATCACAAATGCTTCACCTCTTCATAATGGAAATCCCTCTGAGCAAGGACATGTAACAATGGGCCATTCTCGGCTTCCTGTCCTTTCCCTCTCCATGCCAATGAACGTGACCTCCACGGCATTAACAATGGGGCACATCGCAGCATAAGCATACATACACTAAGGCTGCTTTTCATCTTTGTTGTTATATTTAAGGATGACATCCTAGCCTGCTGGCCTCTAACCATTGTCTTCAGCATGATTATTTTCTACCCGTTGTTTAGCCCCAGTTGCGGCTCTGATGAAAAGGTCGCCACTCAATTGGAAAACAGTCATTAAAATGCGGTTGGTACTATTCACCGGTGTGCATGGGGGAACCAACTCAACTGAGCTGGTTAATCAAAAGTTAATTATATAATTTTCATGCAGATGAGGGAAACATTCAAATGAATCCCAACCCTACAATCATTACAAAAAATAAATAAAGAAATAATTCTAAAAGGCTATAAAATGTTCAGGGACCAGGAGGCTGTAAACAATATGAAGTTTAATTTGAGGTAAACAAAGTGAATATCCACCAGGGGGTCTGAGGAAGGAGAAAGTGAGGTTAAATCAAATTTGGAAACATAGATACCAGCAGGTTTTGTTGTCCTGATATATGTGCAATTAGGCGGGTCCTTGATGAGGACACTGGGAGGGGAGAAAGTTGGCTCACATGGCTAATGCTTTGGGGTTCTTTAAACAGAATTTATGGGATTTTATGCTGTATGTGTAAACATTAATTATTCTCACAAAAGTACACCGAACCGAATTAAACCTGTATTTTAAGAAGAAGTTGTAAAAGGATAATTATCTTTTATGAGCATGTTCTAAAATTATTGAACACCCCATGAAGACGAGCACAAACTCTGTGGGACTTTCAGAGGGAAATGCCCTGGACAACAATTTTCCCCGTAACTTTGTCCAAGAAGGCAAAGTATCACTTTTCAAAAAATGCTCAGCGTCTCTTCATCTAATGAAATGAGTGTGTTATGCAAATTACAGACATGAATATTAAACCAATGAGGTGAAGTATCACAAATGAACAAGTATTGTTCTGGAAGTGCAGCGGAATGCGGTTTAATTTCTCCTTAATTCTATGTGCTCTTATAATGTTAGCCTTTTTCCCAGTTGTGCGAGCCAGTTTGGGTTCATTGGTGTGCATTACAAGCGCGCTCTAACAATGCGGGGCCTCCCCGGTGTCAGCACAGTTCATGAATCTTAGCCCCTTATGCACCAGGCGATTAGTATGGTGCTCTGTCTGTGGGGCTTTGCCAGAAAATGAGTTCTCTTTAAAACATATGCCCCCTGCTGATTCGTTTCCTTTCCGGATATGAAATTCCAATTTTTATAATGAACACCAATTTCATATACGGAGAGATGGAAAAAAAAAAAAAAGTTATGCACTTCGTCTGGTTTTGGATGACTGCGGTTACCCTAAATTAGGAGAAAGCCGTTGTGGACGTTGCGAGCAGAAATTATTTAGATGAGTGTGTTTCGTCGGCGGAGGCTAATCAGCAGTCAGGTATACGGGCGCAGAAATCAGCTGGTGTTTTTCACATTGCATATGCATATGACTGGCGTGGCAGAAAATGGAATTACCAAAAGTGTAACAAATTCAATTAAGTCATTGATTCCAAATAAATTGGCTTAATCACCAGCTGTTGTCATGCTAAGATTGTTGTGTCACAAGTTTGTCATGCTTGTCGGTCGTGACTGCTACACAAAGACAATTTATTGGATTTAAAAGCTACAAAAATATATTTTTTATGTATTTATTTTTTCACGTGGTGACCACATCGATAAGGTGTTTTACCTATGTGATTAAATGAAACAGTACACCTATAGTCAGGGTTCAAATGTTTATTATAATAGATTTATAATGACACTAATGACATGCATTTTATGTCTTGAAAACAAGAAAAAATCTGAAGTCAGAGTAGACAGTCCATGGCGTTGATTATAATACAGTTTGTCTTCTTTTTGATGCTCCTTTATTTATCCAGGAACCTTTTGTTTCTGTCAAAATGGCTGGAGCCATCATTAATCTAAAAAAAATTAAAGCAGAAATTTGTTAGAATTTGAGCTGCAACTTGAATATGGTTGTGGCTCAGTAAATTAAAACACAATTCAATTTTTAATTCATATTGCTTAATTACACACAAAGTGACAATATTACATATTTATTTCTGTTGACTTTGTGACTGGTGTGTCTCACTGAAAATAGCAAATAATTTCTCTGTGGTCTGTTTGGACTATGAATGTTTCTTGTGTATTGACTTCAGCAACATCATGGTCACTAAAACACATTCTGATACATTTAGCAGTACATTTAGCGTTAGCAGTAAAGCTAAATGCGTCAGGGTAGGTGATAATTCTTGATGTGGTGTGAATGCAGCATCTTCAAAATGCTTCTCTGCAGAAGGAAGCATGAACATTACTAAACGTTAGGTGGACAATTGTGGTAAACTTTGGACTTGATAAAACACACTGGACCAACAGTAGCAAGATTCTCTTAACAATCCCTGACTATGAAGACTGCAAACAAATTTCTAAATAAAATGTGAAAAAGAAGACTTTGAGCCAATATCCAGAATCTCTTGAATATTTTTGCTTCACACTTAGGCTGAGGTTGTGATGTTTCCTGTTTGTGCAGTTTTAACAGGTTTTTCCTTCTACTAAACCTTCCTTAAATATATCTGGATACAGCAATGACCTTTTGTGAATTAATCTCCTTGTGAGGCGTATCAAGTGGTGTACTGTCAAGTCTCTTTCATGACTGTGTGTCCTTTGTATTACATGTATGTGTTAAAATATTTGTCTGTAATACCCTAATTATCTGGGAATCTCAATTTTGGTTAATGTACCAAGAAGCTTGGAACTTAAACGAAACAAATGCCATTAATGTATCATTCTGTGCCATGGAAGTGTTTAGTAATATTTACTGTGAATTTGATTTGCTAGAGTTAAACTTAGATATTAAATCTCACTTTCGTTTAATAAATTTTACTGCATTTAAATACATTTATATTGATACAAATTAGATCTGAATTATGGTCGTCAGCCTTCAGTTCGGTAAAAATAAAAATACGACACATTAATCATGCACAAATTCAGTCAGGCAGGAGCAGAAAAATAAAAACAGTGATTGAGCCATTTGTATATTGTCATTGCGATTTTAGAGCATGGCGGCTTTAGGGGCATGATGCACATTAATATTGTACAATTGGAGAAAACATTGGTGATGAATAATGTATACAAAGCTCTTACATTGTACAGCCTGAGCCTCTCCTGGGTTTGGGCACTCGCCTCTTCAGGAAGCGACACAACTCCTCCTGTGCCCATCATCTGAACACAACATGAGACATTTTGGAACTGAAACCAATATTTGAAGTGAAATTCAACCTACAGCACCAGAGTCGGACTTCACACACCAGTTCTATGAAAGCATTACTCGTAAAACGGGTTTTTTGATTCAATAAAGTTACCACATTTCCTGAAACTCCAACTCCACATAAAATAATCACTCACCCTGATGGTTGCTTCAAGCTCTCCCACGCTTCTCTTTCCACCTGGTAGCCATCCATAGGACCAGTGCTGGCACAGAGTGACCTGAGCCAGCAATGCCAACAACAGCACCTGCACCATAACTCTGCTGCTTGCCTTCATTAAAGCTGCAGGGAAAGCCAAATATGTAATAAAAACAATAATGTCACAGCTCCGCAGCCCACGGATGCAAACTAACTGATCACAGTGCGCAAGCAGACTATAATTTAGACCAGAGTTAATCAAAACAACAGTTATAAGTTCATGGACATTCACCCAACTTCATTGAAGACTATCTCACCTCTGTGTTTTCCTTGTTAGCATGTGGTGCATTAGCCAGGGGGGGATTTTATAGGTGTTGTACAAGGCTGCTGTCAGGATTATAATCCCCTCTTTGCAGGTGTGACACATTTACGGACTAATGGGACACAAAACACAACTAATGGAGCTGGCTAAGTGCTCACATATGCTGAGATCACCGCCAGGCTTGGAGAGGCATTAAATATATATCATAAAATGTCTTTGTGATGTATTGGATGCATCTGTGAGGAGGTGCTCACTAAAAAAAAGACATTTGGATGAAACCTGACGTTTATCTCCATCTATAATTTATTGGACGCTGCTTTTAGCAAACAGTTGCTGAAAACCTGCACAGATACAAAAGGCAGAAAGAAAAAAAAAACATCACTTAAACCAGATGCTTGTGCATTTGTTACACTTGCTGTAAGGCTTTAAATGTTATTATCCTTATCTGTTATTCTTTTAATAAAAGAACAGATTGAAGTCAACAATGCAGTTAGCGATGATGAATGACCACAACTGATTTTTGTATACACCAAAAATAAAAAGTAAATAAAACAAAAATAATAAGAGCAGTGATTCCAGTTTAAACCAATTGTTTAGATGTACAAACATAGTAGAAAGTTTGCCGTACAAATTTTAATGCTCCACAAATACTTCATCACAAAACTTGCAAAAATATATTTCCATATAGGCAATTTAGGATAATCAATAACTATTGTGTTTACTGTAGAGTGTGAGTTTCTATTTACTGTACAATGGATAAACCCATATTAAAAAGGTGAGTTCTTGTTGCTGTAAAGTGATTTCAGTTAATAAGATGCCTCTTATCATGCTTGGGATAATGGAGATTATTTTTAATTCACAATTTAAAGTTTTTTGATTTTCATTTTTCTTGTGTGTGTTTGCTATCAATATGTTCTAAGAATTCAAAGTCAGAAAAATGACACACATATTTTATTTTCATATTTTCCAAGTTAACTAATTAACCTTATGGAGATCACATATTTGCTTGATTTGGTAGGTTTAATATGCCTAGGTTTAATATGGACATTTTTCTCTGAAATCTGCATCTGTCTGCTGGATTCAAACACAAATCAACACACATCCTTCCACCTACTCAGGCACTGATGAATCAATTACTGAATTACAAAATCAACTTGAAAACCTCATGGACAAAGTTGTGATTAAATATCAGGGTTACTGTAACATATTAATTCCAAAAAAATTTTCTAAGTTGAAATATTAGTTTTGGTGGGTTTTTTTTTTTTGTTTTTTGTTTTTTTAATTAGTCTGTGCTTGTTTGCTCTGCAGAATTTCAAGCAATTATGCAAAATATCATGTATGCTGATAATTGTATTCAGAATTTTGGAGAACTGTCCAAAGCAGTTAACATTTATGTATACATTTGATATTTTACTTTTATTTATTCAGGCTAATTTTACTGAGATATGGGGTGGAGTCTACTTCAAACCCCAAAATGTTTGCATTCAAGTTGTATGTTTAACAATTATAATTATATTGAGGGCAGAAGTGAATGTTTTTTTCTGGTGAAAAGTGTCTTTTTGGTGCAAAAAGTGGAGCTCACCCAGGGTGCCATTCATGCAAGAACCTCTGCTGCTTACAATAAATCTGTTCCCAGAGACTAATTTTAATTTTCCAGTACTTCAAGGTTTTTAGAGGAATTCTGACTTTAGTTTTCTGCCACTGTCCACAATACATTTGTTTGTGGGTTGTCCCTCTGATAAACCAGAGAACTATGCAGGGTTTACCATGCCTCAAACCTTTCAATCAATGGAAAGTGGCTTTTGTGTCAGAAACCTAAACATGATTAGGTAGGTGTAGAAAATGCATGAACGTATTGGACTTTTAACAAATTATTGTTCACTAATCTATATGTGAAATGCTTCTTCAAAATATGTTACACACACAAAAAGAAAAAAAAAAGAAAAAACAAATATGGCAAACAACTGTCTTACCATAATTTAATTTGTGTCACTTTGTGACCAGTTTCTCAAGATCAGAACTTTGTCTAATCAAAATGGCACCGATTTACACAAGATGGAAGCATTTAAACCTGGCTCGATACAATATATAAAAACTATTCTTTTAAAAGCAGAATGCGACGCTTGGCTGGGATGATGCATCTGAATTCTTGATATAACACATTACTTCCTGCCCGTTCCAATACAAGCTAATTGCATGTTGCCAAGTCAGGCACCAATCCACTAATATTTATCGCCACAGGCAAAACAGAAGTTAGTTAGTGAGGCTGAATCTAATTGCAGCAGGCAGCAGCTGTTAAGTGAATCCCAGACTGAAAGTCAGGTACTATAAAGCAGAAATAAACGTATATGAAGCTTTCTGTTTCTCGTTGAGCACAAATAATATTTACACAATAAACTTACTTATTTTATTTAGAAATTATTACAATAGTAGCGCATAAATTAATTCAGAAAACTTAATCTGTTCAGGTTAGATTACATGTTTTTGGGAGATTTAGCCCTGGAGCTCTCCTATGCCAAAGGTCTCCTAACATTTTCATTAGTTCTGTTATGCCAAGTGTAAAATGTAAAAAGCTATCCAAATCAACATCAAGAAAAACAAAGCAGACTTTTATTTGGCTGATGTATATACAAAGTGACCTATTTAAAATTGGCATAGTCTGAGAAAATGTCGATAAAATCCTGGACCACTCTGTAGCAGAAGTCATATTGCTCCTGGAAATTAAAAGTGAAAGAAAAAGCATGAACAGAAACCGTCCAGACAACAAAACCATGGACAAAGTGGCATGTTTGAAATGATTGTGCGTTGTTCTCACCGCGGTCTGAACCATGTGTGGTCTTTGCATGCGTAAACTCTTGACTGTCTGAAATACATCCAGGAGGCCTTCGGCTTTTACTCTTTCCAGAATGTTGCTGAGTGCAATAAAGGTGCCAGTCCGTCCCGCGCCGGCGCTGTGAGCAGAAGGTGCAGGATTAATGAAAAGCTACTTCTCGAAATGCAAACACTGGAAGTTCTTTCTCTCATCTTTTTCTTTGTTCTTTCTAAGTGGTTTAGGAAAGCAGTCCAACGGGTCCGGTAGCCCAGCAGTGTAAGGCAAGATTTCCTCTACAAAAGTGGAAAGTTATACATTTCTTCTGTTGCATAGTTTAGTGTATTTTGAAGAACAAAAGTTTCCTCAGAGGCCCTTCAAAGTAGGGTTGTTAGAATTATCTTTTTTTTTTTTATTTAGTCACAACAGAGTCTTATATTTGTAAGACTTCAAAATGTCTTACACAAAGCTGATCAAAAGGTATCCTCAAAAATCCTTTTTTTTTTTCTGGATGTTTGTAGAGATATAGTCATATTCAGCATATTAGAATTTGGGATCCAATAAGACTCATTTGTCAGATTAAAAATACCTTTTGAAAATTAAATTGACAGCCTTAATCTTTCTTATTAAGGCCGCTTTTCTTTATTTTTTTTTTTTTTGTTATTGGTTTGAGGTAATATTCTCATTATAAAAGTTTTCATCAAGTGTAGGCAGAAAATCATCATGATTAACATAAAGAAAGGCTTCAAACTCCCATCTGTGTGTTATTAATCTATGTAATGTGTTTCATTTAGTAATGAAGCTCCTGACATGAATGGACTTTTCAATAACTTTGTAATTTATTGAATGAGTCTGTGAATCATAGACCTTCAAATGTGATTATTATGTGTAGAAATTCAGACAATGTCAAAATAATCCATAATTAGTCCACTTTAAATACTAGTTAATCTGTTAATTATTTAGTGGGAAACTTCCTTTTATTCAGTAAAATGAAAATTTTTAAATCTTCAATATGGAAACAGCACTAGTGTCATATGAATGTGCCTGCTTCTTAAAGTTTCAAAACTTATAATTTCTCATTGTTCCTTCACTCTTTTCTCCCTCTAGTTAAAGCAATATATTACAACATACAAATCGGCTAGAAGTCTTTTTTTTTTCTTTTTCTATCTTGGGACACCAATAAACCTAAAATAAAATTTGTCAATAAAAATAAAAATAAAACAAAATTAAATTAAACGAGCATCTGCTTAAGCAGTAGTGGTAGCAGACTCAAGTTACGATCCTTGTCCTTTGGATTTGTGTTTGTGACTCATTCAGCTAATTAATTAGTAAATTAATTCCTTGTTGAAATAAATATTTTAACATATTAATATACATATGCAAGACCATGTTTCTTTAAATTTATGATAAAATCCTTCCATAGGAATGAATTAATCACTCAGACTAGAAATTATGACACTGGTTATTTAGGCCTATTAATGCTACATACATACATATATTTCAGTTTCTTTACAATGGAATTAAAATTCAGACGATTTGTTTTCTATTTGACGTGAAAAAAGTTAGAGGGAGTAAAGGTGACCTTTGTGTAATGGCACTAGTAATTATCCCCACTTAAAGAGAGGCTAATCCAAACGCCAACACTAATCAGTTTGGAAGCTCAGTATTTGACTGAGTCAATGTTTACTATGACGGTGGGATGGAGAGATGGAGATGTGTGTGTGAGGGGGTTAGGGAAGTGAGTGAGTGCGAGAGTGATGTGCAACTCGGAAGAGAAAGTGTAGAGAGACGTTGGGGATTGCAGCGGGTTAGCCCCATTCCCGGGAGAGGGGGAAAAAAGCTTTAAAAAGCCCCTCCTAGACAAGCGGTGATGAAGGAATAGAGGCAAGTGATGACACCATTTCCTGTCGTTAGCTCATCTTATCAGATTAATCATAGTGGGAGTCAGAGGAGATTTCTCTTTGAGAGGTTTTAATTGACTGTGAATCAGTGGATTGGATCAATCCCATCGGGGTATGCTGCCTTAGAATCACTTCACCTGAAGCTAGGTTCTGATCAAAGCATTCACAGCTAAGTCTTTATAAGGGATCACATAAGTAGTTTAGTCGTAGAACACTGGGTCTACTGAGAAAATGTACAAGTTATTGTAGGAACAAGAAAAAAAAATAATTATCTGCAAAATCAAAAGTCCAGATTTGGATAACACAAAAAGCATGTGAGGGTGGAAAAAGTAGGAGTACTGGCACAGTTTTCAGCTGATGTTTCTCACCTGCAGTGTACAACTATGGGACGGTTTCCAGACTGCTGCTGCTGCCTCTGCACAGCAGCGATAATGTCAATCATCCCCCTTCCTTCTCCTGGTATTCCGATCTCGGGCCATCCGTGGAAGTGGAAGTGTCGGACGTGTTGCGACTGTTTCTCCTGCAGAAGATTTGCAAGATTTAAGCTTTTTTCCTGATGTCATGACAAAGCGAGATATAACGTAGAATATTGCACAACATGACGCACTGGCTTGTTGGAGAGAACCATATCTCTGCGCGTGAAGGTTTCACACTGTGTTTCCAGTTTCAGCTCCACTGTGTAGTCTCCAAATGTTATACTGCCCTCTGATGGCCAATATTGGAAACACTTTTCCTGAGAGAAACATAAACAGAAAATACTTAGACTACATTTACCTGATTGTTATTATGAAGGTCATGTGAAAAAAATTAGAGACATTAAAGTTCAGTTTACTTTTCGAAAGAAAACTATTTCAAATTTCATCTTTTTTTTCATTTCTGAAAAATAAAGTAACTTAATTGCTGGTAAATGAAAGTCAATTTTACTGAAAACAAACTTAGTTTAGAAAAGGCATCATTAATCAAAGCAAAAAGTTAGGAAACCCATATACCTTAGCATCTTTGTTACTCCATTGGCTGAAAAAATGTCAGTAGGCCAATTTTTTAGCTATCCACCAGTCTCTGACATCAATCAGTCTGAGGAAAGTTTCCCACATTCTGTTGGGTTCACTTCACCTCACATATCCATTAAACCAAGATCTGACCTTTGACACAAACAGGAATCTGTTTCTAAATTTCATTCTCAAGCAGCTTTTGGTGGATTTGCGCTGCTTTCCTATAATTATGTATTTGGCAAAACATGTTCTGCATTCTCTGGTTCAAATATTTCATTTTAAAATTCTAACGGTGCAAAACAGGTCTTCATGTTTTTCATAGAAAACAAACACTTCTTTACAAACTCTGATGATTATTACACTTGTGGATGAATTCTAACATTGTAGCAGACTTGAAGAATCAGTTGAGTGTTTTTCAAATAGCTCACAGGAAGAAAGCCTGAACTGTGTCATCCTAAACATTCTCCACTTGAAAAATAATTTCTGTACAGTTTAATGGGGCTTTACAAATTCTTTTGAGCCTTCTTTAAAACCCCACCAAATCAAAAACTAGTACAATCTCCTTTTAAAGGTCATTGACAGATTTTTCAACCTCTCCATGGTGTTAACACGTTACTTGCATTGCTTTATTGTAAAGTTTTAGTCACTTTGGACAAAAGCAAATGCCAAATGCATAAAGATAAACTTCAGTAGTCAGGACAACAGCAGACTAAATGTTAATATAGTTTACCAATAATAAATCACTTTTACATCTAGTTTAAGATGTATTTTGTTCTATTATTTTTCTTTCTCCGAATCTGTTTTAAAAATGCAAAAATCCATGTTAGAAAAACCTTTTTCTGGTGCCCTAATTTCCTCACATGACTATATATTTTAAGTTGGAGGCACAAAAATCATACAAAACAAGAAAAGGCAGACAAAAAAATATCATAATAATAATAATAATAATAATAATAATAATAATAGTAATAATAATAATAATAATAACAATAATAATAAGAAAGGGAACATTAAATGTGCAGATCAATTTCTCTTCATCTGTTTGTGCAGCACCACGCTTTACCTGCTCTCTTTCTTTGAGTTCGGTGAGCATAACGATTGAGTGACACCTCCACTCCCACACCATCCTCCAGAAGTCCTCCACAGTGTGAGACAGGGGGCCCTGGGTTGCGATAAAATAGTCCTTCTGCCTGTAGCCCTGGAGGGCGGATCATCCAGTAAACACGACTTGAGAGCGCGGCAAAACATAATATTTTGCATTGTTTGCAAAGGAAACAATGAGCTTTATTTATACTTTTTATGGGAAATCTATACAGGAGGTTGAGAGGGAGCGCTTACATCAATAAAGGAGGCATTGATGTAGTCGGTGAACTCCTGTCCTCTTTTCACTGAGAGTATTACTCGGTTGAAATCATCTGCAGAGAGGAAAAAAATAAATAAATAAAGAGACAAAAACTTTCCACAAGTGATTTATGATAAAAGTTTAAATAAAGGCTGATAAAGAAAAGAATAACATGAAAAAAGAAAACATTCTTATTAAATCCAATATCAAGTTTTTGTGCATTGTAAATAAATGTGGCTTCTTTCATTACTCTACTTGTAACTGAAACAACAGAAAAAGAAAACAAGAAGAAAAAGAAAAAAACATAGCCCCACATTTAAATATCATTGATCTGGCTGACATGAACCGATTCGACAGATATCCATGTACGGTGTCTGAGAAATCACCGGTAGCATAGCGCTTTGATGTTACTTGGATATAATGCATTATGAAACCAACCGAGCATAAAATAGCAACCCTTACACGGGATGATCTGAAGCACACGGTTCTTCCTCATGTTGGCTGGAAGGTTCCCCGTTCTCATGTTCTCCTTCATAATGCGAACATTGGTCAGCTTCTGATGGGAGAAAACATATTCAAACTGATGTGGATCAAAAACTTTAAACACTTTGTAGTGCAATGCGATTAAACACTGAGTCTGTTTTTTTTGTTGTTGTTTTTTTAACTCTAAAGCAGACTATGGTTCAATAATGTTAACAACTACAAAAATTGAAGCTGGACAAAAACATGACTTGTTGGTAGGGGGAAGGGCGGGGGACGAAAAGAAAATCTGAAAAGTAGGAACTGGAGTGTAATTCGATGTAGTTTGCGATGAGCCATGGAGGATTGTGCATCAAAGCTAAAACAAACTGAAGACGGCAGATGGTGGTGCCTTATAAAGTTTCAGCTGATCCAAAACATTTTTACTTATGATTTTCGCCGCCAAGAGCTGCACCCTGGGCAACATTTCCATGATAATATAACTGTGTAGGATGCAGGGTGATGGGCGACAATTCATTCTTTACTGAAATGTTTAACAGGGAGCTCCTTCCTTCGTACCCTGAATTCCTCCTCCAGGCCCAGCCTGTCGTGGGGGGCCCTGGTGTTGTGAAGCCTTTGCAGATGGCCCTCCAGAGAGCATACATCTAGCTCAGTGTCTCCGTACAGATAGTACTCCAACAGAGCCTGGTAGATAAAGGAGTACTGCATCTGAGGAGGAATAGATCAGAAGACACAACAGAAGCCGATTTAGTTCTGCTGAACTATTTTTCTCTCTTTTTTTTTCTGTATTACAGAACATGGCTGTTTTCCAAGTTTTCCAGTTGTTTACGGTTCCGAATTGAGCCGTCGGTTCAAGGTGCAGCAGGTCGGATGGCGTCGTCACTTACGTCTGTCTGGATGAGTTGACAGCGCTGCTCTCGTATTCTGCTCACAAAGCCGAAGACGTCCACTCGCTGCTCCATATGCATCATGTCGATCATGCTGTCAATGACAATGAACGTCCCCGTCCTCCCAACTCCGGCACTGCAAAAACATAAACAGGGGAAAGGTCTGGTCTGTGACAAACAACTAAAAAAAGTTACAAAACAAAACACGCACAAAGGAAACCTTGCAAAACATATTCATGCATCCTGAGCCCTTTCACATTTTCCTCACATTCCAGCCAAGCTCCAGTGTATTATGTTGGGATTTTATGCGACAGACCAGTAGAATAATGGCGAAAGGAAAATGAATACATTTTTAAAAATAAATCTGAAAGGCGGGGCTCATATGCGTAAGTTTTTTTTTTGCCTCATTACTCTAACACTTTTACGCAAAATCCAGGGCAACCAAATGACTTCAGAAGTCAAATTTGCAAATCCACTTGTGAGTAATTTAACCAAACAATCCAAACAAACAAGCAAGGAACAGAACAGACAGGTTGTAAGCTTAAAGCAGTATTAGGTTATTAAACAACATCCCAAGTTTTGAAATTCTCACAGAACACTGTTCAATCCATCATCTTAAACCTGAAATAATGCATTGGCACTCTGGAGGACATGCTGAGATCTCCAGCTTAGTCATGCATCAGTTTAATGTTTGAGAAGGCATTAGAAGTTCTGTTTGCAGGTTCCCATTATACAGGTGACACAGCAAACATGTCAATAACATTTCACTGTTTTGGCAACATCACAATGTGAAGATGCTTTTCTACAGCAGGGAGAACAATAAACAAAGCAATCTTGTAGGACAATCCGATAGAAATTTCAAAAGCTTTGATCTGGTGGTGGTTCATATACAGACAGAACTACAATGGAAGGGTTTAGACCAAAGCACCATATAGTGCTAAAAGGGAATGTCTACCTCTAAATCTGACAGAAAATTTGTGGAGAAACTTTAGAAGAAAATACATATTCAAAGACACTGTCTGTCTTTGAACTGGATTGAACACTATCTGTTCAATCCAGTTGAACAGACAGTGTTCAATCCCAAGTCTCCACATGTGCAAACTGGTAGAGAGCTCCAATTGCAGCATAATGTAGTTCTCCCAAGTAATTGATGTGAAGGGACTGAAAGCAAATGTACACCACATTTTTTAGACATTCACTGGTACAAGACCACTTTACAATTATGCACTACCTAGCGCTGGCCTATCACATAAAACCCCCATAAAATACATTGAAGTTTTTGGTGGTAATGAGACACAAGCCACTGTAAGCAGCCTATATTTGCCTCCCACTTAAAGAAGCTGTACATGTAGAACCGTAGAACCGTGTGCTCTGAACAAAGGAGTCAATTGTGGCCAGCGAGCATATGCAGAAATGCTTCGCCTCTGAAGTCCAAACACAACACTAATAGATTTACAAGGGTCATTTGGGCAAACTGCACCTCTGGGAGCACAGAGCCTGGATTCCACAGTGGGGTGTTGAACTTCAGCAGTGTGGGCCCCATTCAGAAGTCAACACCTGTTGCAGCAGTTGCTACAGTCAGCTGCAAATTACTTTGGTAGGCCATTATGCTGATCATTGAAACAAATACAATTCTGAAGCATGGACATTAAGTCTTTAAGATCCATTTTTATCTATATATAATAATTAAACCTGGGTGTAAACTCAGCTTTTAACTTATATCAGCAAATCTGTTTCTTTGTGTCGTTCCACTTGATGTCTCCTTTTTTACTGTATTTTACCTGCAGTGGACAACAATAGGCCCAGCATATGAAGGATTGACAGCCTTGACCTTCTTCAGGAATTTTAGCATTCCGATCGGTGTGAACGGCACCCCAAAGTCTGGCCAGCTGGTGAAGTGGAGCTGGGTGACCAACCGAGGAGCTCGAACGCCATCGCTGCCCTGCTGCAAAAGTACAAACACACCAAAGGTGTTACACCAGGGATGTGGAAACACAAATCAGTTCAAGAAAGTCATCTATAAACTATGAAATGTTGGTAGGATAAAAAATTTGCATTTTTGTTATTTTTTGTTAAATATTTCTCACTGTGCTTTGAGAGATACAATGTAATTATCAAACAGAGTTTTTTTTTGTTTTTTTTTTTCCTTTTGCCTCACTCCCAGGAGAGCATCATTCCACGTTCTTGGTTGCTGTGTTTTCAGAGAGCTAAATGTGAAAGCACTCGCTACAGAACTCCAGCGCACTCATCTTTTTTTTTTTTTTTTTGAGTCAGAGAGGATTTCTGCGCTTGTCTGGCTTCAGACGGAGCAGGAACAAAGTGAATTTTGAAATGTGAAAGCTTCGCAGCACACCAAGCAGACATCCAACTTGGCAATCAAAAAAGGGAAAAGAAACAAACACACCTTTAAAACGCGCATGGATTCCTGAGGATCAAGTAGTGATAAACTCGAAACATTACAGTGTTGTTTATTGTTCGTTAAAATATGCTTATTTATTGATGACATATCCCGTTTCTGCTATCTGTACCCTTTTAATGTTTTATGCCTAAAATATTCATTTTCCAACGAGGAAACCTTCATACGCTTGGTTTTGCATTGGAATAAATGAAGAAGATAGGAAAAATAAATAGCTGTTTTACACCACATACCAATGTCTAAAAAGAAAAATCAGTTTGAAAACTTTTCCTGAATAATTTTTTTTGTTCATAATGTTTATTTTCCATTGAAGTCAATATATAATGGGATATAACTTGTTTATAAAGGGACTCTCGTTTTAAGTGATCATTCTCTGCTAGTAACGGGCACAAATTAATACTTTGATTTTCACTTACATATTGAACACAGAACTTTCTGATGGTGTAGTCCACCAGCACAATGACGTCTTCAGTTGCCACACGGATATTTCCGTACATCCAGCAGCCTTTTTCCGGCCAGTACTGGCAACATTTCTCCTGGAGAAAGAGAGTGTTCATAAAAAAATACTGCAGTTACAAATTTCTTACCATGGTACTCATAACCCCTCATACCTTCCCCCGACCCATTTTCTCATGTTACAATTGCAGTGCATTTTACTGGGCTTTTATGAAATAAACCAAAACAAAGCAACACATAACTATGAAGTTGGGGGGAAAGCATAAACAGGTTTCATGATTCTTAACAAATACAAATATGAGAAGTGTGGTTAGCTCAATTTAATCTGATTCCCCAAAGGGACAAACGTTCAGAAAAATAGCACTGTCAATCACCCAAAGGACACCAACCGCATGGGAAAACATGGTGGTTGCAGCGTCATGCCATGGGGTTTCCTGAATTCAATAAGAACAGAAGTCGGTCGGAGTCAATAGGAAAATGGATGAACCTAGAAGACGAGGAGGTGCAGAACACCGGACAATAGTGTGGCGGTTCAAATTTCAGAAGGACAACAGCCAAACACATTAAGCTAGGGCTTGCAATGATTCAAATAAATGCATATGCATCTCTTTAGAATGGACCAGACAAAGTTCAGAACTCAATCTGATAATATGTGGCAAACCTTCAAAAATTTGACTGAGTTCCAGTCAAATTATGCGAAGACAAATGGGGAAAAAATAGTTTTTTTAGATGTGCAAATGTATCACTTGATAATCAAGCTACAACTTTGTGTTAGTCCATCATATAAAATTCCAATAGTACACTTTGACGTTTGTGGTTGTACCGTGAAAGAACTGGAAACAATTCAAAGCCAATTGATTGATTGATTGATTTATCAAGGCACCGTATGAGTAGAGGAATTTATATTTTCAGTGTGTGTTTTAAAAATTCAAACCAGAGGCGGCCTGACAGTCGATAAGGTCTTCACAGTGACACTTCAACCCATTAACTAGATTCTCTAATTATCATGAAGCCTCTCAGGATCTTATCAACAATTACTTCATCATTGATCCCCACAGCCTCTAATCTGCCCCATCAAACTTGCTTTTTGAGCACTCAATTATCCTCGTTAGGCTGAATTTAATTTCAATACTAAGTGATCCTGCAGGGTGACACTTTGAATGGATTCCCATTTAGAAGAGGGGTCAAATAAAAGATAATCAGCACTTTGGCTTACAAGAAAACATAAGAGGTCTCAAAGAATTTGTGGTGTTTCCTGGAGAGTTTGAAATAATTCAGTAAAAAATTAAGTACCTACCTCCTTTCTTTCTTTCAAATTTGTCAGCATCACTATCGTTGTGGTTTTTTGCTCCCAAATCATTCGCCAGAAATCAGCCAGTGTCTCAGGCTTGGGACCTGGAACAGTATCGGAAGAAAGATTTCAAAACACCTGGCATCAAGAGTCAGAAACTCCAGTGTTTTCTTAAAAGACTTTACCTTGTGCTGCGATGAATTTGTTCTTCTCTTTATATCCCTGTGTGGAAAATAAAAAAACAAAACAGATTAGGTAGGACAGAATGATTATATTGATGAAGAACTTATTGAGTAAAAATATCTACGTCTATGTAAGAGGCGTTTATGTAGTCTGAGCACAGATGTCCATCGAGCTGACTGAGTATCACCCTGGAATGATCATCTGAGACAAGAGAGAAGACATAAAGCGAAGTGAGTTTTATTTTTGCCTGCTGCACTGCTTTTCCCGGTGATTTAGCCGTCAATAAACCCGCGGCCGAACATACACAGGCCCTCACTCACATGGTAAAATGTTTGGATATCTGTTTTTCTCTCTGTTGTGCTCTCTGCTCGCCTCCTCAAAGGACCCATGGTGGTAGTAACATGGCAGTGACTACAAAGAAAGAAACCAATCCTCACATGATAAAAAAGCAACAGGTACAAAGCCGTCTATCAAAATATTTTATTGTTTTTCCGCTGTACTTGATATACGATTTCACGAAGAAAAAAAGAGAGAAAGAAAGAAAAAAAAAAAAAAAACGTCACCCACACCAAACAATCTTACATTGAACTCCTCTCTGAAGAGTTTGCCGTCATCTGCAGAGCGTATCCGGTACTCCTCCTCCAGCGAGTCCAGAGGGATCGGGAAGTATCTCTTGGACTGCGAGGGAGATCTTGGGAGGAGGACCACTGTCTGCTCTCCTGAGTATAAAGGGATATACGGTGGTCAGACAGAAAATGTCTCCCAGTGGACGGCATTACAAGATCTCGCAGCACCTGCACAAACAAGCCTGACGACTATTAAGATTTCCTACCTCTGTGGGTACATGACAGAAATGATTTCTGGAGTCATAAAGTTGGTGCTGCGGCTCAAAACCATCTCAGTTCGGAATTTGGCATTTCCGCACATTTATTTTCCACTTGAAGAAAAGTTTATGTGCCTCCCTACGTGCTATGAAACCTAAGAGCCCCTGCCCCCCCAAACCCCACAACTTTTCCAGCTTTGGCTCATGAGCCTTCCTTTGTTCATAAAGAGTTCAAATTTACAAGTAAAATAAAAAAAGGCATAAAAAGAAAATGGATGCATTATATTTTCATGCTCTGGTGGTTATTTTGAGTGCAGAAGGAGTACCTTGTTCCTCCAAGAAGCCATTTGGAATCTTCTTATCCACGGATGTGACCAGGGCTTTCCTGTGGTTTTTAAACCTGTAACATAAGAAATAGGGTGAGGTAATGAAAACCATCTGATGAAGAGAGCCAAGTTCAGCAGAAAAGGTGCCCATGGAGAACTGTTTAGCACATGAGATGAGTCACAAAGTTAAAGGAAACATTAACCATCTCAGGGAAGTAAAGCTGTTCCTCCTCATGCTGTCGCTTCGGAATGTGAAGCCTCATCTGACCTAACTCGTTTTGTTTGCTGTCCTCCTTGACAAGCAGCTGTTAGCCCATAAGCCACTGCTCGCCTCCTGTTTAAGCCCCCCAGATCCCCAAACAATAACGCCCTGACACATTCAGCCTTATTTTCATTTAATGATAAAAAAGGGAGAAGGTGAGAAAAGCAATTGTGAGTTGTGCGACTTTATTTACCTCAGGCAGTAGATTGTAAGCAGGACAACAATGATAAGAAGCAGGGATATTATCAGCGTTGAGGGCAGGACGTGATCACCGTGGTGGGTGGGGTTTTCTGCACAAACAACCAGTGAAAGAGATTACTTCAAACCAAAAACCTTCAAGGTAAAGTTTTTTTTTGTTTTTTTTTTCACCCTTCTGACTTGTCTTCTAAAAAGCTTAGAAGTCTTGATGCTGAATAAACATGTCAATTTGTAACTCATTAAGTAATCATGACTCAATTTTAATTTTCATAATTCCACTCAAGAAAAACTTTTCCCTGACAGATTTACAGAAATAACTTTCAATGTTGGTTTATGCTCAAAATAATCATTCAGAACAATTGTTAGGAGTAATGCGCTGATGGCTGATTGTGTGGGATTGAGTTTCTGTGACAACTACTGATATATTTTACAAAAATTATGTCTGAGTTATCTCTCAGTCTTCTTGAATTTATCATTATAACATAAACAAAAACATTTCAGCTTCCTTGGTGTTTTATTTAAACAAATCTAATGTGGAACAATCATTTCTTTTAATTAAAAACCCATATTTTTTGGTATATTTAGTGTTTTTTCTGTAGTGTAGTTCATCAGCAAAGCTTTATAGCTCTTTGCTAAAATTGCTTTTTATAAAATATTTTTGGGAGAACTATGACATTATAATATTTAACTTGTAGTTTTATAGATGCAGTTTTATGGCCATCTCTGATCCCCTGTTTGTTTTCTGTTTTCTCTTCCACATTGTAAAGACATTTAGACTTTTAGTTGAATTGGTGTCTTGAAATTCTCCTTAGGTGTGGACCTGTTTGTCCTGTCCTGTCTGTCTCTGTGTTGGCATGAAATGAACTAGCATCCGCTATTGGATCTAATTGGGTTTTATTTTCTAGATGTTCCACACATCATTAAACAGCACTATGCTGACGCTGGCTTCCAATTTGGCAGGAGGGCAAAAGGCTGTTTCAGTGTTTTTGCTGGCATTTGAAAGTTAAATCAGCTTTAGTTCAAACTGGCAAATCTGGATAGACGTGGAAATGAAAGATGAGTTACTCTCTCAAATTCCGTCTTTACAACAGCATCACGTTCATTTTGTTAGATGATCTGGAAAATTACTTCAATACCTTAAATCAAATGAAAAACCTTTGATATTTAAAACATGCACCTTTCTTTCTTTAATGTTAGCAGTGCAAGACCTTTGATGTTTTACCTGCAGTTTGGTTGTCATGAGATGAATTGTTGACAGTGATGGAGGATCCAATCAGAAACAACACCATTGTCACTGAAAGAGAGAGAGAAAGAAAGCAACAACGTTGAACCAATTTTATTGACAAAAAACATGTTCGAACCTGTAACTCTACATATCCGCCACTAGACGGAGCCAAACCAATATAAAACCCATCAGAGTCCTGTGTCTTCTTAAAGGGCAGAGATGAGAGCTCTGCTTTGATGTGGCTTGAGGGTGATGTGTGCGAGTTTGTCTGCAGAGCAGTTAAGAGTCCTGCTGGGAAATCTGGTTGCAGTCGTGTTCTGTCAGGCCGACTTGAAAGTGAAGCATCAAATAACCTCAAATTCAAACATCAAACCAGGGAGGAGGCTTTAACCCACAGGTGACAGTAACCATATCCTTTGCAGACCTTGTGGAGTTGAGCTTCAGCATTGCTTGTTAGAAGCCGTTTCCTTCTCCCCTGTTTTCTTTGATGTACTGGAACTGTAACCTGCTTTGAGAAAATAACACAATTTCTGAATGTCCCTGGCCCTTTTTAACATCCCATAATCTTATGGGATGGAAAAACAATGCTATTTCATATTTTTAATTCACTAACAAGGGAAAATTGTCTGTAATGTTGCATGGTCCTTTTTGCTTCCTCCATCTCTTTATTTTTTCCTCCCTCTATACCAGTGTTTCTGAAACTTCCCTTAACATCAACTACCTCTCTTAACTTTTGCAACACAATACTTAAAAAAAGAAAGAAAAAAAAAAACATCGTGTACTCTTGTGCTGCATTAGTCTGTCCTAAGTTGAAAGGTTAATGTGACCCAAATATTTTTTTTCATCCACTTATCACTCATATCCAACTTTTTTATGGCAGTGTAAAAGACCGAACTCTGATTTTTCATCCTCCCCCCACAAAAAAAGAAAAACAAAATCTGATTTGCACCACTTCCATATGTGCTACTAAATCACATGTTGTACTTATCCAATTGTTTTTAATGTGTCTGTAGTCTGAAGAGTCTTGCTAATACACTTTAGCCAACTTTCATTTTGCTCTGGAAAAAGCAAAAAAGCTCAGTAAATCGAGACATAAATAATAGCTGAAGATTATAATTATGAATTTATGAACGATTTCTGTCAGGGAAGCACATCACATCACAATCACGTCACTCCTGGCTCTGACTACACATCTAAAAAAGATTTTTCTAAAGAAGCATCATTACTTCATAAGACATCACTAGTAATTTTATGTTTCCTAATCCTTTATCTTATGATCTTGTGATAATACTGTCAGAATACTGCAAACTCAATCCAATTCAAGCAGTGCGCTGCTGCGGGAAATCTGAGTTAACAGATTTTATGTCATTCCCAGATCTAAGTTTACACATCTAAACAATTAGCTGTTACTTAGAATATGCACCAAAGTTGATTTATTCTTAAAAAACTATTCTTAATTAGTTTATGTCTTTTTCAACAGAAGGAACAGGAATATCTCATTGACATAAAGACATTCTGATTCTGTCTTTTTTTTTGTCTCACACTGCTTTCTTAAGATCTGTGTAAATATTGTTGCATATTTCTTTTTAATAATATGTACTATGTATTTTTTCCCTTTAGTAGTCATGTTTTAATTATTTAATAATCTATCTTTTTTAGCACTTTTAAATTTTTATCTGTGGGTGGTGCAATGCATACGGCATATAAAAAAAGAATTGCTCACTACATTTCCCTTGTCTGTTGTTATCTCCAAAGTTCAGTACCTATTTTTCTTCAGTCACTTACACTTCCTTTCGCTTTTCTCGGCGTCCTCAAAGGGGAAAGGTATGAAGCGAAATTATAAATTGGGCAAATGTGCCAAATCTGCCTAAATGTCTTTGCTTTGATTTTGTAAAAAGGCAACAAAAGAACTGAGTGTCCTAATTTATCCTCTGTTTCAAGTCCCCTTCTTGTTATAGAGGCCAAAAGACTTGATGGAATAATTCATTGAGTCAATTTATTTCTTGTGAAAATGGATCAAGTGGGGGCCTCATTTATGATTTTTTTGGAGAATTTCTCCAAAACATCCCCTAACGGGGATTGTACGTAAGAAAAAAAAAACTAAAAACATTGCCCTGAAGCTTTTGTTGAAAAGAGATACATAATAATGCTCTAAAATGTTCTCAAAACAAACTCAATGTCAGATTTCATAAAGTGTTACTGGATTATAAATTAGGGGTTTGAGTTTTGAAAAATATGCCGTCTTCTACTTTCATCAGAAACAAGTATTTATATTCATAGTTGTGTGTGCACATGCAGCACAAATGCATTTTTTACATAAAAAGAACACATGCTTTCACATGTAATTTGTCACAAAGCCAAAGGTTATGTGATGCATACTGTTAGATGAGCCAAAGCTCTTCCCACTGTTAAACAAGCATGCAGTGCCAGCACCTGCTTCCTATTCCCTTCCCTTCGGTGGGAAGGTTGCGTCGACTGATTTAGCCCCATGCTACTGTTCATGGTACATGCACAGCATACCTTGCTGTGCATGTGGGTCACTGCATGGCCCAACATGCGTTTGTCACTTTTTGGCAGCTATGCTATATATATAATATTTAGTGAGAAAATGAGTAAGTAAATGGGTACTAAAAATATGCCAAGCACAGTCAAATGCTGAGATCCGGTTAAAAGGATATTTAATAAGGCATAAAGACACTTGAATTTTCTGGGTAGTTATGGAACTAAAAAGAAGAACTAAGCTTTAAGTGTTGATGAGGTTTTAAAATATGAATCACTTGTTTAACAGTGGACGTCATGACTCGACTTCTGTGTAGGCAAAAAGAGGAAGCAACGGCAAAAACTGTAAGAAACGCTGGTCTCAAAAGATGAAAACTGGAATGCAGGTTCACCCTCCACAGCGAGACACCCACTCTAAACATAGAGCTAAAACAGAATGGCTTTACATTAATGTGTCAGAAATGGTCCAGTTAAAGGCCAGAGCACAATCCGATTAAATATCTGTTATGATGCATTGGCTGCAGTAGAGGTGAAAGGTTGTTAAATAAAATCTTATATTCAGGGAACTGCATAGAAATTAGTATTAGGATCTCTCCACCTTTCCATCCATCCATCCATCCATCCATCCATCCATCCATCCATCCATCCAGCCAGCCAGCCATCCAGCCATCCCCCATCCATCCAGCCATCCATCCATCCATCCAGCCAGCCAGCCAGCCAGCCAGCCAGCCAGCCAGCCAATCACAACTAAGCTGTATTTGCTGAATTTTGCATTAAAGCTGTAGTGTCATTCAGCTATGACGTAATACCAAGACTGATAGTGCATGACTTTTGGGTCAGCCTCTCGGGTCATGGCTTATTTAATGTTGATGCAATTTGCACTGAAAGGTGTCACGAGTTAAAGATAACTTTGTGACAGGTTATAAAATGTGCAGCCTCCATAGGAGATGTTGCTGTAGCAAACTTAATGATTGATACTGGAAGCCTGTCAGATCCAAACATTCCCAGTGACCGGCCTGGTTTTGTTTATTAACTCAACATTTGCAACATGTTAGACATGAACTGACACCATGGAAGCACCAATAACAAACATGTGTTTTACCTCTGAAGACATGAGGCCTGGCCACATAAATTTAAGATAAATGCAATCCAAGATCATGTGTTTATTCCCACAGACAGGAATTCTGTAGCCATACATCATCTTGAATGATATAAACAAAAAATGCTTAAAACAATACAATCAGTTTTGCAATAAAAACACAAGTTAAAAAATATCATTATTTTTAAATACATAGAAATTCATTATTAAACAGAAATTAAGCATCACTGAGCAGCTGCTCATTATAAATCATCTATTACAAATCAAAATTTCTTGCATTATCATTATATTGTTCTGACTGGCTATGACATGTGATTTGACCGATAAAGTTTCATAGTGGCTACAAGAAAACGGGTCACGTGAAACAGAATGATGACTCAAAACAAACTCTGAAACTTGACACAAATCCCTTCATTGTAGTAAAAAAGTCAGGTTAAAGATGTTTGTGGGTCATATTTTTCCATGTGCAAAATATAAATGTGGCAGTCTGGAATTCCTTTTTCCTCAAATTATTCTCAAATGTAAATGGAGATGCTGAGAAAATACTAAATGTCTTCAAAGGCATCCAGTGAGGAATCAATGGGAGTCAAAAGATCTGTAACTTATAGACTGTTAAATTGTCCTTCCCTGATAATTAGGCAAATTTTGATGCAATTTGAAGAGCTTCATAAGTCACATGAACAACAACATGTATCAAATATATATTCACACATCCAGACATGCTTCAGTTTTCTCCCAGATCATCATGGCTTCAAAGATTCAAGATTCGTGTTCTCTGAATATATGTCATGTTTGGAACACCAAAGGAGAGAGAAAAAATGTTGCTGTTGTTTTTCGGGATCTGAGGAGCAAAAGCATCAGGTGTGGGGAAAAAAAAAAAGAAAGATGCAAGACACATCCAGCCTTTTTTGCTGTCAAGTGCCAAGGACAAAAGTGAAAGAAAGCACAATGGAGATGGTGCACTTCGCATGTCAGCAAAGTGCAGCAGTAAAGTGAGCGGTGTGAACAAAGAAGAAACTAAAAGGAAAAGGAGAGAAAAGATCTCCTCCAATCCAGTCGTTGAGTTTATGTGAAAAAAAAAAGAAATAAATAAATAAAAACATTACGTGTTTGCAAAGTGGCTAGTAGAACAGTGCTTCAGTGTTTGGGAGGAGAATTACTACTTTTATGTTATTGTATTATTATATTTCCTTATTTAAGTAACTTATCTTTCTCAAGAAATCAGTTGAATGTCAATAAAATTCTATGTATTTCTGGAAAAATAGACATGTAAATATTAGAATGAACAAACAAGACACTTACAGGTCCACTCAAAGCTGCTGTGACTCGTCACTCCATAGCAATCATGTGATTCTAGCTGCTGTCTTTGTGATTTACTGGGGAGGTTTTCTTCCCTAAATCGTCGTCACATCCTGGAAGTAATCAAAAACATGAATGAAGAGACGAGTCGGGATAATGGCCGTGCCGGAACGTTATTCAGAGTTCTTGGGGCTTCGGATCAACAGAGGACCTCTTGGAAACCTGGGGGAAAAAATAAGAAGAAATGTGTAAATGAAACAGAAACAGTTTGGAAAACTATCCAATACATTTTTTTGTAGCTCACTTTTTTTTAAGCTATCTTAAAAAAAAAACATAAAATAAAATAAAATAAAGCTGAGTGCACACAACTAAATGCAAAAAAAAAAAAAAAAAAAAATAGGTGGAATCGCTGCCAGACTGAACCAAGCATCAGTCAGCTGGCTGAGTGGGTGTGGATGTGAAGCCATCTGGGTTATAAGACCGATAAGACCCAAAAGATTCCAATGCCATTGTTTAGATAATATTTTTACACATTACAAAATTTGTATTTTATCCACACAGTTGTTACAACAAAAAACAAAACCACCTATAAACAAAGTCAAACAATCCCTCTATCATGGCACAACACATGAAAAGGCCTTTTTTTTTTTTTTTTTTTTTTGCAGTCTGCATATTTTTGCATATTTATGGATTTATTTGGATGGTTCCAGATTAGTTTGTAAATTGGTTTGAATTCCTTTGACATATCTGAAATTAAAATGACAATTACATCAATGTTAGTCAAGCCGTAGAGCTGTTGCATACGTTTGTGGAGATCAGCAGGCCAAAGAACCACATTGCAATCGAAAAACCGTGGGATCTACTGCAGGGCAATTTGCTCTTAGGAAACTTGCAAACCATTCTGTGTGTCAGTGTACGAATGTGTCCATGATCATATTTTTAACTGTGGCCCAAAGTGAATGAGGTGCAAAAGTGCTTCAAATTGCTGGTATTACTAGAAAGTCACTGGGGTAGAATCTCACTGATCTCTGTCTCTCCACTTGTTTTTTTATTTTTCTAAGGTCGTATTCTGAGGTGGTTGTTGGGTTGTTTTAAGAGGTGCTCCTCATTTTGACTAATTAAACCATGTAAGTTCTACTTGTGTCAGAGTTGAGAAAAACATGTCCATGAATGCATATCAATTGTAGACAAAAAAAAGAAAAAACTTCTTTTTGCAGTTTAATCTCAAACTATGTTTCAAGACCACATGAATTTTGGAGGCCACTAGCCTACCTGACCTTAGATCTCACCACAACATGGTAGCATCACTATGACTCACTGAGATGTTCAAAGCTCATTTTGCTTTTTAACCCAGTTCTGTTTGTTCACTAACCTGCTCTGCTACCATCTGAAGCCTTCATGAAGCAGTTCCATTTATAAAATTGAATAAATGAAACTCAAAATGGTGAAATATATATGAAAAACATTTTTAAAAAACCCACATTGTCTTTCATTTCACAATTATGCAGTAGTTTATGTTGATCTGATGAAGCGTGTTACAGGACAGGAATATTTTAAATGGTGTGAACATTTTTTGCAAAGCATCGCTGTAAAACCAAAGTATTAATTTGTTCCTGTTTAGTGAAATGAAGAATCAATATTTTATCTTGCTGAAGATAGTGAGAAAGCAGGCTTAGCCTCTTTTCCTGTCCACTATGCACCAGCATGACGCACAAAGGGATATTGTAGCTGCTGGAACATAGCTGAGCCCAAAAAAAAAAAGGGAGAGGTAAATTAGTCAGTAGACTCAGCTGGATGACTTCCCTGACCTCAGCTTTGAGAAAGAAAAAAATCACTGAACAAGGTGTGAAAAGCAACTTATTTCCCCAATCGGAGATCAGTTTTTTTCCGAATGCTGCTGCTGGCAGTGAAATATGTGCAGAAAACCTTCCACTAAAAGCATCCAGTTGAACACGATACTGCTCAAGAGATCCTTTATGAATAAGGCAGTAAAAATCTGTTCTGGAGGTTAAATATTGTGCCTATTAACACTTCTGAAACTTTTAAGCATGTTTGCTCACTTTCATTTGTCAGAAACAAAATCTGAGTTTTGTTTTTATTCGTTTGGCCAAGAAGCTAGGCGGAGCATGAGGATATCATCCTAGAGGTTAACTGGGCCTTTGCAAAGTAAAGAAATTTCTCCAAGGACTTGATTTTAAACACTAGTAATGATGTGCAGAATGTTATGTGCTGATCCCACTTATTTCAATTTTATGTGCTTTACTCTATTTTTCACTCTTTTTAAAAACTGGGCAAAGAGATCTTTTAAGTTTTATTGCCAGTCAGTATTATGATTCATAATAAATGAAAAAGAAAAAAAAACATGTTACAAAATACATTTTCAGTCTTAATGGCTTCCTTTCTTTAGACTCTGATCAAATATAACAAGTTAAGGAGGAAATCCTTTAAATGGAACATAGTTTTTAAAAGTTTATGATATAGGAAGAGTGGGGGAGGAGATAAATCTGATTTGTTTTTATTTTTAGTTTTTTTATATTTATAGAATGAACTTAAAACTTAAACATTTGAGGAATTCTTATTTAGCAAGAATAAAGTTGGGAGAACAATAATCATTTGCTTAATCTATATACAATCTTTCATTGCAAGGACATTTTTTTATATTTTTAATTTTATTTAACCTCTGTTTAAACGTCATACGTCAGAATATTATACAGCAGAAAACATTCTACTGTTTTTGGCCACTACAAAAATCCTATGTACCTAAATGATGAGAACTACAATGAAAATAATTCAACAAATCCATATTTTTATTCACACCTATTTTTGGAATTCAAGTTGAACTATAAAAACATACATCCAAAAAAATAATGTAGACCACACAAGGAAATTGAAAACTATTAAGAATAAAACCATAAAAGTATGTAAACTTTAAAATGAGATCAATGCATATAAACTTCAACCTGTGCCTTACTACAAGTGAAATGGCCACAGGGGTCAGCATACACTGATGAATCTTGCATTTCACTGAACAAACTATTCTCATAGCAGGCCATCTGCCACTCCCAGAACTAACATTAACATCTGAATGTAAGATTTTTTTTGAATGTACATAATGAAATATAAAAAAGCTAGAAACCATGGAAGACTCTTACGGTTAAAAGCATACTGTGAAAAAATCATCCAGCCCAGCTGATCTTTGAAGCGGAAATAAAAGATAAATCCTGTAACTAAATCCATCAATCAAATATGAAACATACTTTTAAAGGGGCAGAAGGGTAATGCTAGAGCTGTTTTTTTGGTTCTGAACACAATTTCCCCTCTGGGTGTAACTTCAGGCAATTTTTGACCCCTGGCTCTTATTTAAAAGGGCAAGAATGTTCCTTAGGGGGTTTGGAAAAGTTTTACTGAATAAATCATTTCAATAAGGATAATAGCATTGAATAAATCTGGCAATAGGTGACAGTACACTGAAGCATAAATATCCTTCAGAAAAGCTTTTTTTAATTTTTTTTAATTTATAGTAATCTCATAATTGTTGTAGTAAAATATCTGACCTTTGTGGATTAAAAGAAATGATAAATAATACTTAATACAGTATTTTACTTGCCTGTAGTCATTGATTCCTTTAGTTCTACAAATTTAGTCAAAATGGAAGCCTTATTCATAATCATCCACTCTATGTTGACTAAAAATTATTAAAAAGAAACAACATGGAAGTCATTGAAGCTGTATTTGAGTGCCATCATCATCCAAAACTCCCAAAAGAGACAGCAGTGAGTCTATGAGTTGGTGTTTACCATAGCTATATCATTCTTTTCTGCCAGCTTAAAACACAAATATTAACATAATTTCCTAAAAAGAAGACATATTATGTTTCCTTGAACAAGTTAAAACAGGTCTGTGGAATATAAAAATCATGTTCATTGCATTTCTTGCAAAAACATCAATCTGATATTTCACCTAACTGCTAAAGACTTAAATGGAAATTCAAAAATGTGCAAAAAAAAAAAAAAAACTATTTTGGATAATGAGTCCCCTTTCACAATGGAAAACAAATTGCCTTTTGCTTAGATGGTGGTATGAATTATGATGCATGCCCTTTAAAACAATTTTATCTCAAAGACAAATTCAAATTATATGAGCCAGTTTGAGTCCACCTGTGATGTTCCCTGCTGTCAAACTAACTGAACACACAGAGAAACAATTGTTTCTTACATTGTGTAACTTTCCGCCGACGCAAAAGCTGAACCTCGACTAAACAGTGCACAGCACTCAGTGTGTGGGTAGAACCAGAGCCTCAACCACCTGCACTTCATAATAAGCAGCCATCCTGTCGTGGGAAATAGCCAAGAAAATTCAGTTTTATCCACACGAGCCAGGAAGATGAGGAAAGTAATCTCCAGCCTCCAGTTTGAGGACTCTGAAAATGACACTTCTGGGACACAATAGGTGAAACTGGGGACATGAGATGATAATCATTGCAATTACAGCCTCACTTGTTCAGCTGCAGCTCAGCCAAGGATAAAGGAGTAAGCTTCTTTCCTGGGATTCACCACAATGGAGCTAGGTGCAAAAATGAATACAAAATCAAGCCCCAGCAGTATACAAAGAAAGATGGTGGTGTTACAGACAACATTTTTGAAACACATATGAAAATAGTAGCTTGTTTTTCTGTGTTGTTGCTAGTCGTTGCTATGGGCGTTGATTATTTAAGCGATTACCTCTTTTGCTTGACAGACCACAGAATGACGACGCAGACACTTGCTCTTCTCAGTAAGAGCAGAGTTTCACCACAAGCACATTTGCAAAACCAAGAAATATGGGTGCACATAAGAAGGGTTGCAGTTTTGTCTTAAAATAAATACATATCTATTCATTCCACTACAAAAACTCACTTTTCTCAATATAATCATACATTTTTTGCACAAATGCATACACCTTCATTGTCTCATTTTTGTTTTTTTAGCAGAAATGTAAATGAAAAATATAATTCCAACATTTTGTTTTGACTAACATTAGGTAACAATGGTCTTCCACGTGGGCTACAAATGTGTTAAGCCTGGACCAAGACACAATGTGAGAAGAATGTTATGTGGGCTAAATAGAAAACCAACTGCTCAATGGTACAAAGTCCTTTTTTCAGATGAACCTATAATTTGTATTTCATTTAGAATTGAAGGTCCCAGGGAAGAGTGGAGAAAGCACAGATGCTGCTTGACGTCCAGTTTGAGGATTTCACTGTCACGATTTGTGCCATGCTTGAAGTACAGAGCAGCTAACTACCAGATAAACTTTAGGGCACTTAATGCTTCCTACTTCTGACAAGCTTTATGGAGATGCTTATTTCATTTTCCAGCAGGTCATGGATTCTTCCCACACTGCCAACTGTACCAAAAGCTGATTCAGTGATTATGGTATTACTCTGCTCGATTGGCCAGCAGACTTGCCTGAGTTGAATCCCATAAAAATTATTTGAGCTGTCAAGAGGAAGACGAGACACCACACAACAACAAGGCAGATAACTTGAAGGTTGTAATAGAAGTTTGCATTACACCTCAACAGTGCAATAGGCTGATGGCCTCCATGTTGCACTGAAGCTGTTATTTGCACACAAACCAAGAATTACACTGCAAAAAGCTCAAGATACCTTCCAGAAACCAATTCACAATATCTTTTTTTTAATTGATCCTATGTACTATTTATATTTTCTCAGACATACATTTTTGAGTTTGAATTTTTTGTCATCACTAAGCTTTAAATATTTCACTCTATGTGCAATAAAGCTACACAGTATACATTCAACTTTCCAAAAGAAGTGGCAAAGAATATTGAACTTTTTCACAATATCTACTCTTTGAGATCAGTGGTCTCCAAAGTTTGGGGCCAATGGCATTGCAGTGGGGGTACAGGAAGCTGTATGGATAAATGAAAAACATAAAAACAGTTACACAAGAGTGTTTCACTATAAAAATAGTTTGTAGTTTGTTTTATTGCAACTTGAAGTGTGAAATGAACTTCAGTGGAATTTGAAAACAAAATATGTGTATAGGTTTGTGCCTGGTTGAACACTTTATGGGCCCAATTGATTTTTTTTTGTCTTTCTTGGGGGGGATTTTGTTGTAATCCATAGATGGGCCCAGAAAATCTTTGGGAACCACTGTTTTAGATGTACTTGTATGTGACCAGAACAGCAGATTTAGGTGATATTAATATGGAGAACATCAAGGACTGACACTGAATCGTTCATAATTTGCGTACATAACGTCAACCTAAAATTAAGTCAACCTTCTTACAAAGACAAATAAGCCATATGTTTTCCACATCAAGGACGATCTCCCAGAATTTCTCTGCAATGTGTATGATTGCCACAATGCAAACCATGTTTCTCACCTTCAGATGCTGAAATTTAATTCCTGGGAAATTTGTCACTTTCAAAATGAGTCTAACTATAGCATGTGAATTCCCCCAAGGGCGTAATGTGTGCTATAGCCGTCCCAATATTCTGAGGTAATCTGAGAAGTAACATCAGCTTTTAGTAGGCCACTTAATTAGGATTGAAGCAACAATGTAGGTTATTGTGAATCAGGCTTTGGCAGTGAACAAGATCTACAATTCAAGTCTGATACAAATGGCATTCATATGACTGTTTTACTTTATTATTAGATGTGACATTACAAAACAAGGATAATTTTGTACAGACTATGTATGGTTCAGATAAGGCAAACTATTATGATGACTAGCAGACGAGTGTTTATTTATTACGATACAGAGTATGATGGATTAGGAAGGAACTCAAGAAACAAAAGAGAAATTGGCAAGCCAGAGGACTTCAATTAGTTTTATGTAAGTCAGTTCTGCAGCTTTTATGAGGCGTTTCCACTAATCAATCTCTATCTAAAGTGGTCTCTGAGGAAGTAACAATGGACAGGCATCTGAGTCATTGGGCTGCCAAGTCTCACTGATGAATGTGGAGAGTGACAGGACAGCCCAACCACTGTAAACGTTAATGCTGCTTCTGATAGAAAAGTGCAAGAATGCACAGTTGTCATTTGTAGCAAACGAGCCTACGTAGCTGTCAGGGTGTCCCATGCTAACATTACAACAACAACAGGCATGTAAGCATTAGAACTACGAAGAAGATGAAGTGGACTGAGGAATAACATTTTCTTTTGGCTGGTTAACTGTTTCAATAAGTTAGGAAGAAGGCAAGCTGACAGATGAAGTGTGTTGCTCTGGGCGATGTTTAACTGTACTATCCATGTGGATCTTCCCTTAACAGGTCCCACTATCTTTAAAAAGCATACTTGTGTTTTCAGACTGGTCCTATTTAGGTGATTTATTGATTCGAGTGGGCTATGAAAACAAAATCCAGCTGTGATTGATCACAGTTAATTGATGATTTTGCATGAGCTGGGTGGGTTGGATTACAAATGAGACATGTGGAGCTGCCTTTTGTATTTACAGGGTTCATCAGGTAATCTTTGTCTTTTATACTGAAAATTGGTTGGTGAGTCAAAACACTTCAGTGTAACAATCAAGCAAAAGCAGAAGTAATGTCTAAAGGCACATTTACTCTGCAACCTATATGCCTTGCATCAAACTGACACATTTGCTTTTCTTTGCTGCCATTAGAAGCAGGCTATTAGCTGCAGCATTCACTATAAGTACAGCATACAGGCCTATACTGCCCTTCATTTGTTTTTTATGTCCTCAATAGCACTGCTGTCTCCTTTTTTGGTGCCAAAAAGATTTATTATTATTATTATTGCTATCATTAATATTTTAAGCTACATGATCACAGAAAATAAAATAAATAAATCAAATCGTTACATGAATGCACTCAGTTTAACCTTATACACATCGTGTCCTGGTGGTCACTGGGCGCATAGATTTGCTCCACTAACCCATATTCTGTACAGCTTATGATGACAATGTACATGTGTGAATGACGGCTTAGATGGAATAAATGTCCAATCCTCCGTGACCTGCATGCGTTTACTAAAGCCTTTTGTAGTTTGAGTGAGCCGAGCGGTTTAATAAAAAAGGAGAGTCGCAGCTCTTAGACAGAAAATGGTCGGTGTTTAGGGTTAAGCCTCACGCTGAAAGCAGCTGGGATTGTCCGCATCTTACCGTAGCTTTATGATGACCTCGTCGCTCACGCTGCAGCGGCTGATGATGTCGGCTCCGGCTTGTTGTTGTAGTACGCCCCGTCTCCTCTCCTCTCCTCTCCTCTGCTCGCTCGTCTGGTCTTTGGAGAATAGCGCAGCGAGCATGGAGATGTCGAATCGTCTGACCGGAGCCGAGGAATGCGTTCAGGCTCCCTTAGTGATCATGTTTCCAGTGCATCTCTCAAAGGATGGGTGTCCGCCTGCCAAGGCTCGGCCGAGTTATGGCAGAGCGGAGACTGGAGAGACCCTCCCCCGGGCGCAGAACAGTATCAGGTGGACGCAGAGCATCCTTCACATTCCTGCATCAGTGGACAATAAAGGGCAAGCTAATACAGAAAAAAAAAGAAAAAAAAACTCTCAACCTGTTTTATTTTTTTATTACAGTTGGTATTTTAGTATGACGTTTGTTCAATACACAGAAAGGTTTCAAGTTGTAACATTCCCCCAGTGACGCTTAGGGGACTGATGTGCACTTGTTCATGTCACATGACGCTGGAGGAGTGAACAAGCAGAGCTTCTTTGAAAAGATTACAACTTCACTTTTTCAAGTTATTTTATAAAAATAATACTAGGCTACTAATAACAAATAAAATATTATCACTATTATTATTATAATAACATTTTGTGATGTCGTATTATGTAAAAAAGTAATTATAATAACAATAAGTCATTCTGGTTTTTGTTTTGTTTTGTTTTTCTTAAATTATCTATTTAGTCATTTCATTGAAAACTTGTTGAGCTACGTTCAAGAACATTAATAGTTATAACTTTTTTTCCCAGAATTTTCGTAATTCTCTCCGTAAAAACTTGTTGCAGTTGTGTATATGCGTGTGTGTGTGTGTGTGGGGTGTGTGTGTGGGGGGGGGGGGTGCGTGGGGTGTGTGTGTACGGGTGTATGTCTGTGTGTGGTGGTTAGGGGGTTGAGCCAGAAGTGAATGGTGGGGGGTCTGTAGTTGCATGTAGTTACACAGACATAGGCTGAAATGCTTGTAATGTTTTATTTCTTTGCAATTTGGCTCAGTGTTTTGATTTGTTGGGAGGAGTCTGTCACCATGGATTTTCCATCACAGAGACAAAATGTTATTTTTTTAAAATTATTATTTTGTTTTAATTGAGCAAAATAATACTTGTTCTAAACCATCCTATCCTCCATATGTCTTGTGTTAAACTGCAAATATGACTTTTTCTAGCTACCATTTCATAAAGTCCAGCTTTGTAGAGGGCACTACTAGTGCACCATTCAAAGGTCTGCTACACCTCAGCTTAGGATATCTGCAACTTCTCAAGAATTACATCTGTGATTAATTCTCTTTGGGTTGACAACCATGAGTCATAAGCTGTAAGATGTTGGACTGAGCAGCATTGGATATTGTATAATAGCATAATCTTGCTTTAATCATCTCCACATCATCACTGACCTGTCTGTTGTGTTCCTTTGTCTTGATGAAGTTGTTCTACGATGTTATCCAACAAACCGCTGACCTTCACTGAACAACTAAAGTGGACAGTATTTACTAATTAGGCATCTTCTGAAGCCAGTTGGTTTTACTGGATTTAAGTTTACCAAAATAAAAAGAGGCTGAATAAAAATGCACAACACAGATTTAAAGTCGCTATGTCTGAAAACCTTATTATTTCCCTTCTTTGCTTCACAGTCAAGCAATACTTCCTGTTGGTCTAAAACATAGAATCCCTGTACAAAGTTTGAGATTGGAATATGGCAAACTATGTTGTAGTTCAAGGTCTTCAAACAATTTTGCAAGCCATTGTTCTGTTTGTGTCCTAATTACACTGTTTTTTAGATAATCTTCACAATCACATTGCCTGAATATCAAACAGACTGCTGCAAACCAAGTGGCCTTTACATGAAACTCACAAATTTGAAATATGAGCTCACATGGAACACTCCTGGGCAATTTTGTTAAAGGGCATCTGCGGGAAAAAAAAAACACAAAACTAAACAAAAACTCTTGCTCAGTTTTTTTTAACGCTATGAGGCCCTGAAGGCATGTTTTCAGGTTTGTAGAAACTGATAAATATTGTGAGGATGATTTGTGACAGCTGGAAAATTATAAACAAATATGCTCCAGAGCATACAAGATAAATCCCCTGTGGCCTGATGACATAAAAACACAATTTCTATAAACATACAGCTTTGCTGACCTCTTGTGGTGACTGCAGAAATAGTTTGTTTTCAGATGAACCAAACCATTTCTGTACAGATGTGTATTGTGTAATGTAATAATATGCTGTTCCTTTTGTTGTTTTTTGTTTGCTTTATTATTGACATTGAAATAAAAATTTGTAGATAATTACATTTCCAAAAGCTCAATTTTGGATCACACAGCTTCACTGAATAGCTAAAAACACTCATTACGGGTACGCATTTTATGATAATTTGAGGTTTTATATAGTTTTTTTAGTCTGGAACAATTATACAAGATATAATTTATGTAAATTTTAAACACAAAATGAGTGCACATATTTTAATTTCTTATGAATTGTATCTGTTTTTTTTAAATCAAAAACAGATAAAAATTGTTTTCCTCTTATAGCTATGTGACAGGTGCAATGTGAGAATGTTATTTTTTTAGCAGATAAACACGGATGTGAATACATGGGCTAGCAATGCAACAGAAGAAATATTCAAATACAACTAATCCCCAAATTAAGTTTTATTGATAAACTGTTTAAAAGGTTTTACTTGGGGTTCTGTCTTCATGTTTTATGTGTGAATTTTGACATTTTCATGCAGTCACTATTGCATCCCATGTGTCAGGTTCATCCTGAGTGCAGAAAACTTTCGCAAACAGCTGCAACAGGCAACAGTGAAAATCCAACACACTTCACTTGAGAAGATTTTATTTTGTTACCAAGAAGAAAGGGCCTGATGCAAAATGCATACCTTCCAAATATATCTTCAGATATTTGCAGGTATACAAATGAACCAAACATATCCTGCGTTGTATAATCTCAGTTGTTTGGGTAAGAGATAAACCCAGAGATAATACAGTTTTGCATTATATTTTCCACTTTCAAAAAGGGCAAAAATATGTTCATGGTTGTAATGAGAAGAGTCAAAGTTCTGACTAGAACTGAACATTACTTAAAAAGGTAGAACAAAAAAGGAATAAATGATCAAATCAACTTTAAAGACCAGAACATAAACAAGAAATATATTAATATCTCTGAATGAAAGATAAAACTTGTTTTTTTTATTGTTGTTTCATAAAGAAAATCCTGGCATGTTTTCTAAAAATCATTTTTTCAGCCTTTCAAAATATCTTTTAAAGTTGATTGAGGCATATTGGCATTGTGAAGAAATTTTCCGTGTTGTTTTTATTTATTTAAAGTTTTACATTTCATGCAAAAGCCAGAGTCACCTGTTCTCTACAATGTAAAATTAAAATGCAACCTCTTTTTATTTCTAAAGCACACTTGAAACCTTTGTTGCATTAGATGATGGATAAGAATTTGCTTATGTTCAACTTGTCTTGTTTTCTTCTAACAGAAAAAAATCGGGGATGAAAGTATTATGTTTCAACAGTAGAAACTTCTAAATACAGGCTAAAAATTATTTAAGCAACAGCCAAAGAAAAAGTGCAGAGTATAAAGTATTTTACACATTTTAATAACAATTTACCATTTTGTCATTACAGTGTTCATCTATAGAGAAACATCCTGCAGATAGGACAGTACAAAAAACTGATTCTCAAAAAAAATAATCTGCATTCAGATAATTCAGATATCTCACTCCAAACTTAATCTTATGTCTTAATTGAAAGCAAGCAGATCTGATGTCAACTTCCTTGTTTGTGTGCACACAAGTGATAAATAGGTCTGATTCTGAACCTCACACTTCACAAAAGGACCACAGCAGCATCTACCAACAAATCTACATCTGTTACTGCACTCAAGGTCTGTGAAGATGTGTGCTAGCTCTTTTAGTATAAGAAGATCAGGACAAATACAGGACATCATGCTTGAGAGGCTGAATCAGACAGGTCTGCAAAGAGGGTAATTATTGCAAATTTCCTCCCAATCTGTCAATATAATGAACATAATAAAACCTTCACAGCCAGAGAACACAGATAACTTACTGGGAAACAATATGCAAAGCACTGTCTGGTCCCCTGAGTGTATTTGAAAAGAACTTAGGAATAAAGAAAGAGTGATTTAAACTGATTTGGTAGTTTTGGAGAAATACTGACATTTCTTCCATTTTATAGAAGCATTAAAGAAAGAAGGCTCATAAGTGCTTTCTTTGTTGCATGTTTCTTTTATTCCAATATGCTTGAAAAGAAAACTTATTTAGAACAGATATTTTTATTAAAGGTTTTAGCAACTTTTGTTTGTGTACAAATATAACTTTTGTGTTTGAGCAATGCATAGATGGGGGGGATTGGACTAAAGGGAGAATGTATACAGAACATTGTATTGGCCAGACAACTTTTATTTTTGTGAATCAAACTCTTCTTTCAAGCTGTATCCTAATTGCGTGGTACCTCTGGGTAACACCATATGTCAGCTGAGGGCAGTGTTGCTCTGAAAATGCAGCTGCAGTCTGTGCACATGCTAATCTCTGTTTAGCAATTCAAAAAGATTTATGTATGTTTCTGTGCAACAATGACTCGTTGTCTTCTCTATCTAAGACTTTAATTTAAGTATTTTAGAGTAAATCCGTATTTAAATCAAACCCATTTTGGTGTAGTCATGTGGTTTTCATTTTCAGAGAAACAACATTTACAATTCAGCTCACATTCATACATGTAATATTACTGTACCTAACAGCTTTGTTCTTTGTGTTTCTTTGTTTACATTAACATTTTGCGCTTTTAAGGTGACACTGTACAGAGGCTTACTGTTAAGGTCAGTTTGCGCATTGAGAGTGAAGCGCAATGCTGCAGGTATGCTCACTTCCTCAAGGCTCAAAAGACCTTTTGGGAGGATTTCTTTTTTCTTTTTTTTTCAACCTGCATGTCAAATAGATTTCTGTCCTGAAAAACACCATGAACTGACCTTCATCACTCCCTTTTGCATCCTTTCAGGGAAAGGGAATTCTTCTCATCGCAGGTGTTTGATTCGAATGTCACTGTTTTTTGGGGGGCTCTTCTACATTGTGGACCTAAGTGAACAAAGATGATTTAAAAAAAATACTTTCAGAAGCAAAATTAACTCAACCTTCTATACTGTGCCAGTGTACTCAAAACATCCACAACTTGGTGCTGGGGGGTATTATTCTAAAATAGGCCACGATGACAAGTTGTTCAGCAG